TATATCAAACAGACTCGAAAAATAATAATTATTATTAAATCAGCAATTATATACTTATTTTAATACATTATGATAATTAAACTGTATTAATTTTATTCTATTGATATTAAAATTTAATATTAATGGAATAATATTATAATATAAATATCTTTCAGAAATTAGTGTAATTTTTGAACAATAATATAATCTTTAAATTAGAATAAAACATCAATAGGTATTAGTAAGATGTTTTCGCTATGTAATTACATTCTTATTTTCGCGGTAAAATACGGTAATACGTTTTTACAAATTACAATCCTCAAATGATATAACACTCATTAGAAAACAAGACTTTCATCGCAGCGGTAGAAATACACTTCTTTTGTTATCGCCAATACAAAGAAGCCAAGCTACCCTTATCGCGTGTGTCTTTTAAACTGCCATCACGTAGGCCTGAATAATACTTCCTTTTCGCCTGTGGACGGCGGCGGCGGTCTGCACGCACGAAAAATCCTTTTTATTGCGGCAGGGAGTTGCATGTCTACAAGTCTATGAGCGCGTACACGTTCCCCGCGCTGCTGATTATCGCGCGACCATTACTTATTCTTTCTCTCTTTTCTTACCAGTTCTTATACTTGTTTTGAAAAAACGCAACACCTTCATAGAGTTGTTGAGTAGTCGTGAGTAAAATTGCATCGCGAAAGAGGGGCGTTCCCGATTAAAAACGATCGTAACAGAGTGTCCGACCGATGTAACTTTTTCTCTAGCACGATTCCGAAATGCGATTTCATGTGGCTTGGACCTCCCGTGTATATCACGGCATAGCATTAAGATGTTAAATATAAATTACTTTTGGTTTTAGATTCAGGACGGATATAAATGACTATGTAAAGAAAACCTCGAGATTTTTATGTAGTCCAACCATTACTATATATTTTACTAATACCTTATTAAGTTCTTTCTTACCAACAAATCTCAACAACTATATAATTATCTAATTTGTCATTAGCAAAAGAAAATGAAATGCGAACAATTTCATACGAGTTTATTAAAATTTTCTTCACGTAAATTTATTTGACGGAATAGAAGGCGCGAAAAATGAAAGACACGTTCACTCGTAAGTAATGTACTTAAAATTAAAAATTCTTATTTTGTTATTAATGAAAAAAGAAAAGAGAAATTATATGCAAAGTCCAATAAACAGCGAAGATGTATACCCTTTCCTAATTCCAAGTTTCCACTGTATCCACATACCAAGCATTTCATGTTGACGATTACGCATGCCTACATGCAAGGTATGGAAACAATTTCATGGATTTTGGTGAAGAATGTCGACACACATGCGTATGACTACAAACACGACTAGGATGCATATGTATATACGTAATTATTGTCACGCATTATGGAATGTGTCCTTACTTTAGCGTTTTTTTTCTGACCGTACATAAATCATTACATTCGATCGCTATGCGTAATAATAATTATGATCAGATTGCGATTAGCGGTTTTTAACTCTAATTAGCGTAATTTAACTCTAGACATCGGTTTAAATTTTATATGTACACTTTTAACATTTAACAGTGTAGCTGTTTAAATAACGCGATCTTTTCAAAATTGCAGTGCTGTGCTTGGGCGCATATTTCTTTCTTTCCTTGTATATCCACGAAATTTAATGCATTTTTGCCTGCACGCAGATAATTTAACATAATATACATAATGATTAATAATTCGTTACAAATGTAAGGTTAATTTCTTCCGCCGTTCTTTTTTTTCCTTTGTTGCAGAAAATGCGCACAAGTAGATGTATGTACTGCCGCGACAATCTAAAAGAGCTTTAAAAAAATATCGTACATTTTTATTTTCCCTTTTCTCTGTTTGCGAGGATGTCATGAGAAAGTAATAATAATGTACATTAATAATCATTTTCGTATGCGAAATGTCTGAATAAAGAAAGAGGTAAGAGAACCAGAAATGTGTACTCTCAAAATTTATTTCGCTGTGTTGCTTTTATAGCGATGTGGCATGCATGGCGCTGTCACTATCTATGATATAAATATCCAAAAGCCACGTATGTTTTCCACTCTTCATAAAAATATCCCTTTCATCATTTTTACGAATCTTTCGTTGCTTCGCTTTTTTCCTCACTCTTCAACCAACCGAAAGACCGCGTTTTTTTACGCGTTGTTTGAACGTATTTGCTTGTATTACTGTAGCGTGCGTTTTCTTTTTTTTTTTTAATCGTATCCCTGCAATGTTTCTTTCCCTCATCGCCAGCGGCTGACCAAGCGAGTCTGCATCCACTTTTCCTTTTCTGACGTGGCTTGAACGCGGCGCATTGATGAAAATCTCACTTCAGACACCGCGCACCATGCCTTAACGAGCAGTAGACTGGAAAATGTATGACGCTATTTTTGCGCACGTACCGCATCTTCCACGTATTTCCATATTTCCGCCGTCGGGCTTTTTCTTGCGCTTCCAGACTTACTCTTTCTCTTTGCCGCTAATGACTCGCACGATGGTCGTACGTGCAGTATACGAGCATGCACGCGTGAGTTCGGAATAAATGAGCGATTCTTGTTGCACTTGAAGACTCACCGAGCTATGCCGAGCATTTTAATTAGAAGCACTTTCGTCACGTTTACGTATAACAGGTGTCTGTCAAAAGCTTTGACACGCATGCACATCGATGTTCTCTCCTTTGTTCCATATTTTTATTTAAAAAAAGTTTTATCGACTAACAAAATTTCCAATGTCATTTGCGGATATGACTATATCGTTATATATAGGTCGGATTTATTTTAAAGGCGATAAGTACAATTCATTCAAACTAACTTTGTACGTTACTTTTTCCAAAGTAGTGTCCCAGTTTCTCCAAAAGCTTAGAATAAGATAAACTATGAATATTTAACATTTCAAGGGAGCGCTAGTCTGTGACTTATTTTCGCTTTAACCTTTTTTTAACGTGACATTTTCGCTTTCGTATTTTTGCTTCTCCGTTTCGCTTGGAAATTCGATGTTTGATGTGCATACGGGCATATGCGCAAACAGGTAAACCAGCAAGACGGTTTCGCGCGCTAAAAAGGATTTCTCTCAAGACGAATATATATATCCGCGTATATACCACCGCCACCGCGCGACAAGTTATTTTTCCTGGAGAAGTAAACGGGAGAGAATAAAATTTTTAGCTGCGCGTTTTCTATTTCACCCTGTGTATCTGCAAGCGTTTTCCGGGATTATCCACGACATTATGGTGCATGCATGCCGGCACATCTTTACCCGGGCTTTCTTACTTTTCTACCGGCTTTCCTTTGAGTGTCGGCACATTCATCACGCGTAAAGAATTATCTACCTAGCGTTATTTATTCAGTGCGTCTTATTATTAGCGTATATGAGGATAAGTAAGCCAAGTGACTTCATAGAAAAATATTTAACGCACGCCTTGCTAATGCAACTTGCAGAGATTATATGTAGATAATATTTATAAAAAGTCTAAACCAATTTGATTCATGTATCAAACCTAAATCTAAATATAAAAATTTTTGTACTGGCTACTAACTAATAAAAGTTACTAGAAAATTAAATGATATATAATAAGTTTTTATATTAAATTGTGATTAATAAAGGTTTTTATATCTCTTGATATACAAATATTGATTAGTCTCATGTATCGTAATTGATAAAAAAATGAATCAAAACTATTATAAATACATATACAATACATTATACATGTATCGTCATCTTTTTTCTTGTTCGACTTTCTTCTTTAGTAACATGAATACAAGTTCGCTTTAACTGTAACGCGGACATAAATACATTTATTGCGCTATGAATGTCGATGGAATACGTTAAATTAGAATAATTATATGCACGCCAAACGATCGATATCAAAGGCTGAAAAAATAGGCCTTTCGATCTTAGGCGGTAATGCATCAAAACGCGATATGAAATAATATGCATAATTTGCACTCTACCTCGGCATAATTGCTATAAGGAAGTAATTATTAGAAGATTGCTCGCGATATCGCTTCTCTTAGATGGGATTAATACTTTATGAACGTAATGCGCCCTAATGCGACCTGTACCACGAAATGTAAATTCAAGCGTTAACTTTTCGAGCGCCTCATTCAAATTTTACCTGCGATTAACGTTAAAGAGCTTTTACGTTAAGAGCATCACTGCGCTCGCGCGAAGAGAGAAAGAAATACCTTCTACTGACTTTTTCCAATTTTCCACGATATATAAATGCGTAAAAGCATTTGAAAAAAAACGCAAAAATTGATTACAAAATTATTGTAATTGTGTTGTAATCGGTAGGGCAGCATTATTGATGCTCCCCCACAGAAAAGGCATTCTCGCGGACTTCCGTGCCAATCGAAAGTGAAAGCTTTATTCACTTCACCCGATATAAGCGGCATTCCATAATTCCAGAAAATTTGAAAGGCTCCCTTTATGAACCGCTGTCGAGTCCATTATAATGCCCCGTTCAATACACAGAAAGGGCCATCTTCTAGCATTTTTTGACGATACAACGCACCTAGGAATTTATCAAGCTCCGTGTCTCCGTGCATTATTATGCCGCTCACGTGACGAAATATATCTCCCATCTTATCTAACCCATTGTACGTGTTCATTATTATTGGTATTTCTCATCTTTCTTGCATGACAAAGAAATTAATGATGCCGTCAATAGCGATGATGAAACTAACTCATAATTCTATTCAGTATATCTTACGCCCGAACCTCATTTTGACGTAACTTAATGATATGGAAAATATTTTATGTGATTGTTATCTTCGTACATAATTTAAATAATTAAATAAAAAACATTGAACGCGTTAAGGTGTGTCAATGGTAATTTGTTTCATTTGCAAACATTTAATAAATAAATAAATGAATAATATAATGTTTGTTTTTATATAATCAATTTCCAATTATTTTGTTACGTTTCAAATAAGAGAAGCGTGTTGCGAAGTACATTCTTATTTCAAGAAGAAGAAAAGAGACTCTTATTCTTTGCTTACCTTTATCGAGCGACCTGGCCAAGAGGATTGTTGGCAGAATCAAGAAGACCATGTACCACGAGAGCCGGTCCCGCATCCTCGCGAGGTTCCAAGTCCTCCTGGAAAAGAAACATCCGATTAATACTGCAGCCTTCGACTAACGACATTCTATGCCCACTTTTGCCATACAGGTGCGCGTGTGACGCATCCGGAACGAGAAACTTTGTTCGCACGAAGAGAACTTCGTTTATTATGCACCAAAAAGCCGTCAACGTGAATAACACGGAGAAACTCGACGGAGAAAATAAGATTTTCATGTCTCTACTGATGTGCATATGGAAACGTATACTGTATGGCGTAGTCTAACCTGTGAATAAATTTTGCCTGGCAAAGCATTGACACGCTCGTCGAATTCACCGAATTTTTGTCATAGAATATATTTTGTATTTATGATAAAAAGCTTTTTGTTGAAACTTGAAACCGTTATTCTTTTCCAGTTACAATAATCAGTAATATAATATCATTTGTAATGTAACTCAATCTCTTTCTGTCTCTCTCTTTCGCTGTTTTATTTAATATTATAAAATCAATGAATATTAGCAAAACTAAAATTTGAGAAAAAACGACATTTGATATTGAGTGACTTACAATATTGAGGTTTGCAAGAAAAACAAACAACGCAATTTAACTGTTCTGAGAAACAAATACAAATAAAGCGCTAAATTAAAAGTACCGATGTAATATTTCGCCCGGAATGTGCGGACAGATTTCAACAACGCGTATACGCGGGATATATTCGCCTTTATAGCTCATTGAAAGTTGCGATGCACGAAAAATATCGCATGGTGTTTGCTCTGGCACGTGCAACACATGCAGCGGCTCACAGTTGTTCGGTGCGACGCATCAGATTCTCCGGATAAGCGTGATATCGCACGCTTTTCGAAGCGCAAAACAATTTCGGAGCGACACGGGGTGCCGTCGGTGCCCGCCAGCGAGAAGCTCGATGCTGCGTCGCGCTGCACTGCACTGCACAAGCAATAAATTTACGCCACCGAAAGCGGTGAAAATGAGGGACGTATACCGCCGTGAGAAAAGTACGGAACGGAAAATTGCTGACGCGACGCCGCTAATTCCGCGGTAGTTCGTAACGGCAAAGTATGTCTTTGACACCTCGATTTTCGCGGCGACCTCCTGGCAGCGAATTCACCGAGTAATTCAAAATTATTCTGATCGATAGACATCGCGCGGGTTTTCTTCAACGTGAACATTGAAATTTCCAATAAGACGACCGTTGTTCGTTTCAATGTCGAAAATTTCAAACAGCGCTCTTCAATTGCTCTTCAATTGTGGAAATTAAAGAGTTAATAAATTACTGTTTAGAGACAACTACATTTATGTATAACAAAACTTCATTCTTCACTTAATTTAATATAAAATTTAACATTTTAACAACGTTTTTTTAAGGATAACTGTTTTAAAGGAGATAAAAGTTTTAAAAGATATTTGATGGTAGAATTTTATTTTTCTTTATAAAAGTATTTGTGGAAAACAAAAGTTTCTTTTTGCAAAAAAGATTGCAGCTTTGCATTAAATAAGAATAAATTAAATTCTAATTTTAAATTCATGAATAGGGAAGAAATAAATGTGTACTTAAATTAAACTAAAAGATATTAAATGCTTTGTATAATAATGTTTAATAACTTATACTGATAGTTTGATAAGAATATGCAGCTGGACATTCCAGGACTATACTATTGATTTTTCGGGGCAAGCTTTCCACTTTCAAAGGTATACCTTCAAAGTTCGAAATAGAGAGGGTGGCAGGACTAATGGACGACAGCGTTAATGAGTTCAGATTGCGTAAGACGTTGCTTCTTCGAGAAAATTAACAGCTTGACGCATTATATTCCATAACGAACAAACGAGTTAAGCTCGTGTTAGCTCGCGTAACACTCTTATCTGTCCGAGAGTTGCGTAACGCGCAATTACACGGTCCGCACGTGCTGATTAAATACACGGAAAATTTGCGGAGTCTCTGAAAACACATTCCTTTCTTGCGACCGTTAATCCGACTAACTCCGACCATTCGGTTAATTGGACTGTTAAAGTCTCGTCCGTTGTAGCGAGTGCCATGTGGCAATACGGAAGAAAAGTGAGATAACCCTGACAAAACCTCATAATCAAACTGTGAAAGAGTCATGTGATACATATCGTTTATTATGCTGTTTTCTGCTCGATGTAACCTGAACCATGATAAACCATGACCTGAACGATCGAGTTATAATTGATGCTCAATCAAACATGGCTTCGTTAGTGCTGTTTGCCCCGTTCCCGTTGCTAGCGCGACAAGTAACAGTAGTGAACGAATAAAATATTTACATCTCCCATGATTTGTACGACGCAATATGTAATAAAACAAATTTAAATTTCTTAGAAAAAAATGCAAATATATAAACGTAAATTACACAATCTTTGAATGACATTTGCATTTCATTCGTACAATTTTCAATTTTAAAATAGTATATATCCAGAGTTTATCTAATATTTATCCGTGCAATTTTTTCATTGAAAATTTGCTTTTTGTTTGAAAATATCAAACTTTATTTACAGTCAGTTTTATGAAAAACTTTAAATAGATTCGCTCAAAATTTCGATTTCAAAGCAATCAGCATCAGCTTCGGTAGCAATTATTATTTGTATTAAATCCACTGGATTAAATAAACTGCGAATATTGCTGACAGCGTTAATGGAAAATATTTTTTATTTGCCTCGCCCATCTATCTAGAACAGAAGCGTATTATAATGATAAAACTGATGACTCAATTATTGCAAATATACGCAGCATTTATCTGGTTGTGCCATATTTAACGATGACTATATTTTACGAATGTTATGTTTGACGATTTTACTTTACTCGTATTAATAATTTATAATATGTAAATTATTTTGGCGCAAATTTTGGAAAGTAAAATAAAGAAATAAATGTTAAATTAAGATAAGAGTTGCAATGGAGCAGTCCGTATATGTATAACAAAATAGGATATTATTAAATTCACGATATTGCTAAATATTAATAATCTTGAAGACCATATTTATTAAATATTTATTAATTGTGTAAAAAAACATCGGTTAATTGGGTAGATTGTATATTTAATTAAATATTACATGTTTAATTTTTAATACATTTAATTTAATACTGAATATTATTATATAAATACTGAATCCTAACCATAAATATTAAAAATTCATGAATTTGTATGAAAACATATACTTTTTAGTCAGACACATTTAATCATGCCAATTGGCTTGAAACTCTTTACTTTTTAATAGAATAATGTTGATCTAATTGGGAAGAAAGAATTAGGAAATGTGATCATAAAACGGTTTTATTCCATTTTCTAACTCTCGCGATTCTTCAAAGTTGTTAAGATTTTAGGATTTGTTCTTACTAAAAGAAATTGACACGCATTAAAATCTTGTTTTACGTAACACGTGTTTTTATTAAAAGCCGTAAATGTGCAGTGAAATTATTTATCCGGGTAATCACATTGCATTACAAACGCTGGACGAGTTTCATTTGGCGTATGGAAATTTACTTTCCGCTTTCTACGAATAAAAGTTTAAATATCTCGTTATTCCTTTTTTTTTTACTGAAAGGTTTTGCTCGGCACGATAAACGAATAAATTGTTATTCCACACAATTAAATTCTCCGGAGAATACGAAGGCTGAATGTTGCTGTTCCGGTGAACTATGCGCGCCGAAAGTTTCGACGTTTCGAATTCCAGCTGGTCTTAACGTCTCCAGTCCTAGATTTTCGCCGCAGAAATCCTACTTAGCGTCGGTTCGGATCGTTGACACGCTTACTTTTGGAATTATCTTTGTGCCCGCTCGGGAAATTCGTACGACGCGACGGACGATTTTACTCGCGCTTAGAGCTCGCTTTCAATTTAAACTCGAGCTTCGGAAAAAGTTTCACGAGAGCTAACCGGAGTAGCGTCGGTAGGTATTCACTGGAGGTCGCACACCGTGAAAAAGTTCATGAGGCAGGTGAGGCTTTTGCGAGCAAGCTAGAAATTATTGTGCGCGCTCCTAAACGCTCCCCCGAGTGAAATCTTGTTTAATGGAATAATAGATCACGGTTTGGAGTATTAACGCTACGTCAATATTAGCGAACATAACTAACGCCCATTTGTTGACGCGTGGATTCGAGCCTCAATGATAATTCGCACGATTTGCGTCTGATTCTTGTGGCAAGCGGACACGATCTCCGCGTTTAATCTTGCTGGTGTTTGTCGAACAAGCATGAGCCGATTGACGGATGCGTATCGCCGCGGTATATACCTCTGGCATTCTCCTTAATCTAAAAGTATAATACACGCAGTGTTATTGTAAATCTGAAAGATTATACTTACATACTAATGTAAGCTGAAATTAATACAAATAGAAATTAAAGAAATTAAAAAAATAGATTCTGATTGTGCATACAAACTTCTTTCTACGAAAATACTCCATTAAAAAAGTAAAAGTAGTTAATAGAACAATAATATAATTTTAATTTAATTTTAGAATAGTTTTTAATACAGGAGGTTTTGTAAGTATCTCTTCTTTTTTTCTCTAAATGTCTGAATAAATGTCAAAATACTTCTGATGAACATTGGTGTGTACTGCTGCGAGGCGCTATGGCATGGATTGCCAGATAGTCGCGAAATACCCAGTGTAACTTTTAATTAATTAAGAGATAAGTCGAAAGTGAACTCCGGGCAAGCGTAAAGCGCGAGGGAGGTATTCGTAACAGCGCAGAATTTATTGTCCGAGTTAGAGAATTCTGGTCGTGCTACTTATTTATCGAGCTGGTGCTTTATGTACTTTTGTTCGTCGTTGAACCCCTCCCCCCCTCTCCGCCGTTCCGTTACGAAAGTTTTCGGATCGCAACTTCTTCTCCCAGGACGCGACGCGAGTCATTGGTGCGTTTTCGACTGCAAAAGTAAATCCTTTGCGAATTATCGTTCTGTAAATATCCGAAGGCGACGACCTGTTACAGGCATTACGTGTGTCGCAAAGTGTTTTCGAGCCGTCCGCGCCGCGCCGCGCACCGTCAAGCACTCGCCTCGCCATCGA